ACAGGGACGCCGGTCTATTTTCATAACTATATATCTATGTATGAAATTCTTCGAATTTCAGATTAGTCCCAGACGAGGACTTTTTGAGACAAAGACTAGACATGACGACCGTCCGATATGTTTCAAGCAGTAAAAAAGGTATGCCTAAGAACATTAGTCCCTGACGGAGTCATATACTAGTCTTACAACTGCTACAATCAGCGTCTGGACTAGTCTTGTAATTGTCATGGTCGGCGTCTGGACTAGTCTAAACGAAAGGAAGATAAAGATGAAGAGTAGATTCGAACATGTGAACTTTGTAGTACTTACGTGTAGCATTTATCCAATTGAACCATAGGATCCGAAAGATAGTTTTTATTATTTCAAGGTCTTTCTCACACTCTGATTCGCTTTAACAGCCTAAATTTTTGCTGATTTTTACCAGTGAAATATCATTTTTATTTGTATCAGTTCATAAAAAATATATAATGCGCAATGTTCTCTCTATCGATTTATTGATTTTTGCTTCGATGCAACATATTTTTTATATTGAACCCTCGAACATAAAATTAATAAGATCTTGGAATTATTTTCTTCAACATTACTTTTTGTTATCATGTGATCTTTACAAGTTTGTTTATTTTACATTAAATAAAAGATAATTTTTAAAACAATGAATTAGTTTATTTTAATTTAACTATTATCTTTTAAATTAGGATATTCAAGTACAATTACACAATTATCAGGTCTAAAAATCATCGCATGTTTTTTTATAACCCATTTTGGATGTTTAAGATGGTAAATATTTGATCTATTTAAAATGAATATATTTGGAACTTTTATAAATTTATCATTCAATTTAAATTTCATTTTTGATGAATCTGATTTTTTTTCAATAAGTTCTTCAATTAACAATCTAACAGTATCCTGTTTTGACTTCACAATAGCTCGTATAAGACCCATTTTTTGTTGATTATCAGAAAAATAAAATGATATACAATTATCAGCAAATAATTTACTATATGATATTGTTGTTGTTTTTAACAAAACATTTGAAATTTTAACAGAATGAAAAAATATTAAAGGATCTTTGAAATAAGATTGTACAATAGCAGCTATACCATGTTCAGTATTATCATATAAATTTGATGAAACAGATTTTGGTAGGCTACATCCATCAATAATAGTTTGATAATGAACTAATGATTGTTTCCGATTCAATAATTGTTCATTAAATGTAAAGAGTGAAAGTGGATAAGAAAAATTTCGATGACGAACGATAGCATCTCGAAATAGAACATGCTGCCGTATCAATTGTTTAGCAAAATGAACTGTACCATGGACTGTATTAATAAAATCTTTGTCAATTCCTATATATATAATTTAAGAAGACAAGAGTATTGAAGTTATATAACTACCTTCATAGCTAAAAGTAGAATACTTGTTGACGATGAAGATGTTGTTCGATGTAAATTTCCACCAGCAATATTTTTAATAGCTTTTGTTGTCTCTTCAATTTTTTCGGAAAGTCCAGGTGCTAAACTCCAGGAATAAGTATTGACATGTCCACCTTGATCTTCAAATCCGAAACTAAATATAGTACAATCGTTTTTTGTACCTAAACAAATGGAAATTATGCTTATTTGTTTATTTGATGGAGCAAGGATAGGTAAATCAAGTCAGATCATATCAACCCGGAGCGGTTTTGAAGGGTAGGAGTTCGGTCAAAAAA